ATACGTGACCCAATTTATCAAAGATCAGCGGACACTGACAGAAAATACAGATAACTCGCACATCATATGAAGAAACAAACTGTTTGGCTCAAAGGGTGAAAACAACCAGCTCTCTCCAAATGAGTCAGAATTCGTAAAGATTATGAAATATGGGTGAATATGCACTATCAAGACCTCATATGTTGCCAGATTTGTTCCAGACACAAAGGCCAGACTAAATATAATGTTTGGATTCAGCACGACACCAAATGATAATAATCCTATAAAAGATTACTACTGCCATTGCCCAGTTGGTCAAAGAACTATGGGAATGTGGGCTCATACATCAAGTATACATTATTATCTTGGCCATTTTAGAATTCTTTAAAATCCAAAACAGTTGCACCAAAGGGCTAAGATGTTCCGACAAATCTTGAAATAAGTTGTTTCTTTTGAATCGAGAATCAACAGTTTGAAAACAAATTCAAAACCTCGCATCTTTGTTTTTCTTCCTTCCTTTTCCAAGTCTGCCATCGAACACATATCATGCTCTTGCGTCTTGCAAAACATTATCTGTAAATGTCATCAGCTGTTAATACGGCAATACACTTTAATAAATAAATATATGAAAACAAAGTATCGAACAAACACAAAATCTCTGAATTCCATTTATATTGCAAGAAAATTGTCTGGGAATCTGACAACTGATTAGGCAGTAAAATGGATGTTTTTGGCCATCTTGAAAAGAAATAAACCAACAAATCTTTTCGAAACATGTTCTTTGTTGATTAAATAAATTGGAACAAATAATGTCCTTCTTTTCTGTCAGTTTTCAGTCATAATGATTAGACTATACACATAGCCATGCATTCTGATGTATATAGACCATATGGTCATTTGATCCCTTCTTTGAATATGTTCCACAACATATTTTGGATTGAGATTTGTGTCACTGGTAGTTCATGGCATAGTCCATTTATATTCAAAAGAATTTTGAAAGATTACTTTTATTCTAAGATAAACACATGTTTGTCAGGAAAATATAATTACTGGAGATGGCTTGCGGCTGTTGATTTGTCTGTAAATATCTGATAACTGATCATAGAAAGACATTTTTACATGTATACTGTAGTATATCATCCTTAGTTTTGGTTGCATCAAAAATTATCCTTCAATGCGTTATTAGTTTGACAACATTCTTTGGGAAACAAATCCGACTTTTTGAGAATTTCAGTTTATTGCTCCCACGAACAAAGAACTCATTTAAATTTTAATGTGTGTTTTTGTTGTGATAAGGTTTAGGTCTACACCTCACCAAAAGAAAATTGAAACTGCAATATAGGTTGGTAAAATTATTATTTTGATTGTGTTCTTGAAGATGTCAAAAACAAACTCAACATCTACTGCAAAATGGCTGTTACAACCTAGCTTTGGAAAAGTCTCAATTATGCAGTGTCCTATATCCCTTAAATTCTGTATTAAATTAGCAATGACACTAAAAGCACTTCAGTGGCTTTCGTTGATATTTTGTTTCATTCTATACTATGTCCGTGTTAGGTTGGGTCCTGATTGGTTGACATTGAGATATTGACAAATTTTGTTCAGATTCTGTATGCAGATGTGTTATGGCATTATGATTATTTTTTTGCAGCATCATTTGCGACTACAGTGTTAGTATGGGCGCCTAACGTAACGGTCCCTGTCACAACTAGATATTGTTATAATTTATGATAAAAAATGAAATGTATGTACCCTTCCAGAGCAACTGATTTCACTTCTGCTTTAGTAAGCTCATGTTGTGTAAAAAGTTCGTGTTCTTTGTTACTTAAGTTACCTTTGTCATTGGAATCTTACCATTATTGTTGACTATGTCTTGTGTTAGATATGACCTACATATTATAAATATATACGTTTTTAGTCACCCCTGGGGGAACCCCAGTGGGGACTATTAATGTTGGTTTTAGTCCCAGATGTTGACCTCTGTTTGGTGGGCTGTTAAGTATCTTGCTTCTGTCGGAATATACCAGGCGCTAATTACAAGCTCTTGGATAACTCAGATATCGATTTCCTTTTTAAAAAGGAATAGCTTAAAACCAGGCGTTCCAAATTTCCCACGGGAATAACATATAACCTAAAGATGTTCCGAGTATGAATCAGGCACCTTTGAGGTTCCTGAAGGGGTAAACTGTCGTATTATAAATTGATATTGACTGAATTAGATATGTTATGTCTGACCAACGACTACCGTTAATATTTGCGTATAGTGTGCACTTTTTTAAGGGGAAAATGAAGTGTCAAGGAAGGGGTGTACACGATACTGTAGAACAATCCAAAAACAGTCCTTGGTCGCGACCATTTCTCGTAATTTTTTCGAGGATTTTCGGACATGTTTTGAAATATGCTCGCAGCAATAATATGCTTTTCGTTAAATAATCTCCGATTGCATTGCCAATTTAACAATTACAAAAAGTTGCAAGTTAAAGTCATATAATACTATAGAATCGGATAAATAAACTCGAGTAAAGTAGGCTCAACTTTTTCAGGACGTTACGTTGTGATTTGATAAATACTGTACCACGTATCGGGAAACATAACGAAGAATTGCATCGCATTTATCACTCTGTGATTAAAATGTCGTTCTTGGATAAAATTATGCTGAACTCTTCAATCTTGACCATAGGAATGTGTCAAAACGACGTGGGTAAAGTGGCGAAGTTAGCAAGTTTGTGTACCGCGAAGAGTCAACGTCCCGTGATACTATAAACCGGCAGGAATTTACAAGGTTGACATCCATGCGAATTTAACCGATAATGATAAAAGTTTGAGTTTGAAAATTAAATATCAACGCGTTCAAAACAGCCAAAATCATTCCGATCTTTTCTTTTCGAAGCTGAATTGTTGAAATCACAATTGTTTGATGTTCTTCATGTCTCGCGAAATCGGATGTTGGCGGTCCTCGTCGGAATGACTGCCTTTAGCGTACACATTCTGCCGATATCGATGACCGATTCAGTCGGATTGGCAGACTATCAGAAAACTACTTGGAAAAGTATAATTAATTCATAACAAAAAATAATAGAAGATTTATCCGTATATAAGATTGAATCTTTTCTGAAACTCGTGTTGTGAAAACAACATCGTTATATTCCAATTAACGTTACCTGTTTTGCCCATGCCAGGTGACCGTGTCAGCGCGCAGATCTCCCCGTATTCGAGGCGTCAGTCAACGCTAACGTTATATTTGCGACATGCTTTCTTATTAATTTCATGTGTTGGCATGGCTACCTGAACAGCATGTATGTATTTACACCTGATAATTGTTTACCATTTTGATTGACAGGTGGAAATATATCTGTTGTAGCTTGGTCAATTATTTATCGGAAAATTATCATACAGAATGATGGGGTGACTTTCATGTCATTCTGACATATTTCTAGTTTTCTATGTTTCAAATGTCTCCAGTGGAATTCGAACAAAATCAGTTCTTCTGATTCAAAAATAACTGTATTGCGTTTTAATGAGTCTAATAAGGTGCGCGCACTTGCATTGTATTTGCGCGCGTGAGTCTGTGCCTGTATGCTGCACGCGTATGCGTTCCAGGTGTGTATGCACAAGTTGGACGGACGTAATATTGATTCTCTGCTGCGTGTTTCAAAAGTGAATTAATGAAAAAATGTATAGATAAATCAATCAATTAGTCAATCAATATTAGGTATGCTGTACATCGAACATCTCGTCATTTTATATCATGTAAGCTCATCTATCATATGTACACCTTTTAAAGAATCTATTCCAAAAATGAGAGATGACGTCAGAAAAAAACAAGGGATTGAAACAAGCAGCATATGTAAGCTGTCGAATGAAAGAAAGAAAATCTTTATTTTGGGGATACGTGTTTTTTCTAACGGTACCTTTATTTACAAAACACTTTAAATAAAATTTGACTTCGTGTTGTTATCAATTCGGTATTCCCATCTAATCAATAGCTTATATTCCTCATTCCACGTTGATAAGTAGATTTTCAAGGCTTATTTCGGATTCGTAGTAATATACATAATACATATATACATGCAGGACATTCTCAGAGCTAAGCGTTTATCCGTTGTTGATCCGAGGCAAAATGAAAATTCATCACGCTTTTTTGTTCCTCACTGAATGCGTGTGTAATCAGTAAGGAGTTATCGCTTCACTATTGTTTTTTTATTATTTTTTTTAAAACTTTTTTTTATATTATATTTTCAAAATTTTATGACATAAACATATATATACATATACATACAATGTACATGGGCGTCAATAATCGCCTTTAAATAATGTACATACTGTTCAAAATATTCTATCAAGTATCAGTATTCGGCTTACATATATATTAACAAATAAGTATAAATTCACATTTTGATATCAACAAATAAACTTACGGATATTCTTGTCCGTAATCTATCGCTTCACTATTGATGCTATTGTAATTCCTATAGCAAACATTTTTTCCTAATTAACGGATGCATGCAATGCAGTTTTTTAACAGAGAAAAGATGATTTTAAAAAGTAAAGAAACAGTTTTGTTATTGTTGTAAAATAAAACGTATTCGAAAAGATCAAACATCCCGGATGAAAAACATCAGACAATAACCCGATGGAGATATAGAGCTCTGGTGAGAAATCGTTTCGGGTGAGAAATCGTGTCACCTATGCCCATATAGATTGCACAATTTCTCACCCGGGTGAGAAAACGTGCAGGGGTGAGAAATCGTGTCGCGAACGCAGCAATTTTGCACGATTTCTCACCCGGGTGAGAAATCGTGTCGGGTTGAGAAATCGTGCCGTAACAACCTCTCCCGTCAAAAGCTGATTGTGACATAATAATTTATTGTTCTCCGAGGTCATCGTTATATTTTTGCCAAATGTCATACTCTATAGGGGGGGACAGAGATAACATGCCCTCGGAGGTAAAAGAGACGTATTTACAGGAAAATTGGTAAACAATCCAATAAAAGGTGAGATAATTGTTTATCTGAACCTACCTTAACTTTCATCATCTCAGTGTATAAATCAATACATCCTGTGCCTGCTTCAATGGATGCCTCTTTACACAAATTTGCATACTGCCCTGCAGCTTTGTTACACTTCTGACACTGACGACCTGAAACCAAAAATAATAATATCAGTTTTATAAGAAAAGAATTAAACTGATGTACAGTTATTTCCACTCAACCCACAATATGTTTTCTCATTGGTTTTCATTCGACAAAAATAATTTCCAATAAACTCACAAATGATTTTCACTCAACTCCCAATGATTTGAACTCAAATTACAATGATTTCTTCTAAACTCACAATGGTTACCACTCTACTCACAATGATTCTTACCAGTTCAAAATTCATTCTCAGCTCGAAATGATTTCCACTCAAATCAACATTTCATTTCAACTCACAATTATTTTCATTTACCCCGTGTTGATTTATTCCCAACGTAGAATGATTTCTTTTATGGACAATGCTTTCTACTCACCTAAAATGGTTTATTAACAAGAGACCCAGAGGGCCTGTATCGCTCACCTGAATATGTTTAAAATAATTGGTATGAAGTAAAGATATAGCACTCCGTGGTAGGTGCTGTAAGTACATATGAAATTTCAGAAAGATCCATCCAGTACTTGAGATATAGCGAGAACAAACTTCAAACAGAACCCCACCCCTATGCCCCTAAGGGGTCATACCCACCGTGTATACAAAATTGAGTCCCCTTGACCTAAGCATGCTCCAGACCAAATTTATTCAAAATCTACTTCGGTTCAGGACTAGTAACGTTTTAAAGGAAAAGTTGACGGACGGACGACGGACCAGGTGAACTAAAAAGTACCAATGGTTTCCACTCACCGTACGATAACAGATCTACGAAACCCATTTCCGAGAAAGATAGCATGTACAACTATTTTCTACAAAGATTGATATCAAAAAGGAATAATAATCTTCAAGGATGTAATTGGGGATAATATAAAGTGCCTTTAATATGAGAAATTCCAACATAAATTGTATTGTAACGTATAAAATACCATGGCATAGTATCTGTGATTTCCAAGATCTTGCATAGGTGTCAACAATATGAAGGGCACATAACAGTACAATATCCATATAATCCATTGAACTTAGAAATTATCATGAAAAGAAGGAAAGGAACTAAAGGCATTCATTAAGTTCATTGTAAAAACAATGTTATACCAACTGGTAAACAAAATGCAACAGTTATGAAATCAGTGAGGAAACATGGAAAAAAATGTACATACGTAACTACAATGGTTCCAGTACAGAATCAACCATCACGTTTGACTACCTACTCAATTATGTTTAAAATGGGATTAGCTGACATTATTTAAACATTACTTATCTATATAAGCAACGACCAAGGAAATTCAGGAAACATAAAATATACAAAAGCATATTTCAAGAAGTAGACAAGAAGTAGTTGACCCTTGATTGTATACAGTCGGCCACAATCAGAAAGTGTCCTACAGCACTGCCCGGCCATGTGCCTTTAAACTCATCAATCCCCTGAACTGAATGCTTGTATGTGTCCAATGTGAACATAAGTGGTTGGAAACAATGTGACACTGACGCAAAATAATTGTCTCGAAAACAAAGAGGTGAAAATATCAGAAATCCCATTGCATGATGACCTAACCCTAGACGTTATTTCTGCAAAAAATATCTTTTAGACTGATTTTTACAAGGTCAAAAAGTCAACTAGCAATATGCCCATTCAACTCATAACGATTTCGCAACCTAACATTTTTCACTTAACTCAATGACTTTTTTTCTCAACTCCTCATAACTGCCACTCTTCTCATTTTGATGTTTTCTCAAATCACAATGATTTCTTTTCAACTTACCGTGATTTCTACTTAACGCACAATCATTTCTTTCCCACTTAAGGATTCCGTAAAATTCACAATGATTTCTTTTTAATTGTTATGATGTCTTCTCAACTAACAATGGATTCTCTTAAGCTGAAATTATTTCTACCCAAGACAAGCTGATTACTATCCAGCTCGAGGATTTCCATACATCTCACAATCCTTTCTGTACAAATAACAATTATTCATGTAACATTGAAATCTTCTCAACTTAATGGTTTCCACTGAACACAACAACTTTTTCTCAACTCCTTATAATTTCCACTCAACTCACAATGATACCACTTAATTTTCAATAACTTGTAAAAAAATATGTAAATAGTATGATTCTATAAAATCAGTTCATTTTGAACATGGTTATTAGTTTTTAATTTGACGGTGTATTTATATTCTAGTGTTTAATATGATTCCATGTTTTTGGGACATTGATACGTTTTACCAAATTATCAGTTACAGCCAATAGAGATCGATGACATATGTAGGCAACTGCTTGTTACCATTGACAACGCAATCTGCTTCCCAAGCGATAACATCACAGGCAGGAGGTGTGACCAATATTATCTTTTCTCTGGGTATTCCCAACATCTAAAAAATATAAGTTACATACCATTATTATTAAAACACATAGAGCACTATGAACACAAGAAAATACAGCATAGCTGCATATTCTTGCAGTAGAACATTTTACACAAGATTCCAAAATGTATGAATATTTTCAAGGTTTACCTGTAATAACACTAATTCCCGGTACAATCAACACATAATGGTATCACATGCGTAGGTAAACAGAGTTGCTTCCCCTTTCTACACCTTGCCTTTGATTTTTTTCGTCCGTAAGCAGCGCTCCAGTGGGCAAACAGGAAGTGACTTCTAGCCAATGAAAAGGGAGAAAAACAGGAATTCTGACTGACGTCATATTTCTACATTCTATTTCTGTTTCGCGCGAAAACGGAACTCTCACTTAATTGCTATACAAGAATGTAAAATATTACTTCTTTTATTCCCAAAACATATGCAACTTATATACCTTCTGAAACTAGAAGACTATCTCTTAATTATTCAAACATTATTATACACTTTAGATATCAATGATTCATCAAATCGACTTAAATATCGAGGCGCCAGGGATTTCTCCGATTTCTGGTGCGCACACTTCGGTGGATTGTTTATATATGCTCCGGAAGATGACAGACACGGTGGCTGCGTTAAAACTTGTGTCATGTAGTGTGTAGTGATTTAAAGTATAGCTGCAGAAATAGACGATTAGTTCAGTCACTTCTTTCCCGTTTCTTTGGCTTGTAATCGTGCTAAATGTTGGCGAGGTTCAGGCGTGTGGGACAAGGGGTGCATACTAACATGCTAACCGGCAAGTCATGTGTAAGAGAGTGTATGGTGTTTGTTGAATGAAGATGAAATAGTCTATGTACTTACGTTTGGATGCGAGTTATATCCGGGTGTTTAATTTGAGTGAGTTCCGTTGTGGGTATGAGATCTGTGCGGTGATTGGTTGGTGTGTTCGGGTATTGTGTGCGAAAGTATAAACGCATGTGCTTTTAGTATGTCGGGGAGAGAGTAGACATAGGCACCAGTCGTGCGTCTCTCTCTCCCATCTCTAACTAGCCCAGGTATGTTCTGTTAATGTTACTGTAGTCGTCGTGTGAATAAGTGTGAAAGTTGTGCTTCGTTATTATCTTGTTGATGTTAAATAAATATTATTGACTGTTCGTAGTTGTCGTAGTTTTCGATTCACTATTCTAAATTCTAGAACCCGAGGGACAGGCGCCCGAGGCACCTGTTACACATGTTTGCTGCACTTCAATAAAATCAACCTGCATTACTATCTTAAGAATGTTATGACACATTTTCTTAAGCATGATCACAGGGGCCTGTGGTATGGTGCAGTTCTATGGGAACACTCGGAAGAAAGAAAAACATGCCGAGTATGTACAGCAAAGATTTCAAGGTATGTAAACATTAAGAAACATTGTTATTATTTTTATTGTAGATCTATACTGAGATTAATGACCAAATGTTTTAAATATCAAACCATGAATAATAATTGTGTAATGGGCAGAACCATTAACAAAAACAAACATATTTATTCTCGTGCAATTATAATAATAAAACAGTATGGAATTTAAACCTATAAACTTAATGCATTCATAATATTGCTTAAGTTGCTGGGTTAACCACTCATATCAGAAAAAAATACAACATTATCATATAAAATTTAGATTTACCTACTTGTGTGTCTCAGAATATTTTTATTTTGTGTTAAGAGTTCAATTGTTTCCTTATTGTATCAGGTATGCAGATGAAATCACTGTGGGATGACCACATCCTTATATGTTACAAGTGGAAGAGATAACTTTTTCTCCTATAAACTTTCCTGGCAGAGACACCTATATATCCGCCCAACTGAAATTCTCCTGAGTGTGTCAGTAAGTAGGACTACATGTAATACAATTGAATTACAAATGTTATAATATTATAATCCAATTACGCTCCAGTCAATTAATTAGGTCATTATCAATTTTTTCGATTTCAATTTGAAATATTTTATTTGTGAAATTCTGAAAATTATGTATGGGCCTTGCCAAATAGATACCCTATTTATTTGAAGCACTGTGCCATTATTTGAAACCAAATTATTCGCTTAACTTAAGGTGTCCATATTCTATATTTTTTCAAATGAAAAAAAAATGTCTCCACCCATTTTTCATGTTTTCAGACGTACAATTTTTTTTTCACAAACTTGCCTACAAGTTCATTTTAAAACAATCTACTAGCCCAACCTATGTTTTCATAGCAAATATTAAACGTTTTCCCTAGCCCAAATTGATATTAAATCTACTAGCCCAATTGTTAAAGCAGTTGATATGTACAGTATTACACACACCTGACAGAGAAATGCATATATATAAATATATTTGTTTTAAATACTGTCATAATACTGTACTTAAAAACTTAACCAACCTAGTCAATTCCTTTTCAGAGCTCATTTGTCCCTGCCTTTTTACCAGTATATTTCACATGGTATATTATGCATACACATTAATTTTGTGTGACCTTATCATTTCGTTCTCATCATAATGGACAAACTGGTATTATGCAATGTTTTCTGTGATTGGTTTATCATTTGTTGTGATGCTGTTTTTTTTTATCAAACAGTTAAACAGACCTAGCAAGCTTTGACAATGTTCAATACATTGGATCTTTCTTTAAAGCAGGGATATATATTCCTCATAAATACAATATTTAGTTGCTCGAAATATATGTCTCTGCTTTAAAAAAAAATTGGACTTTAATATCCTGAAACTGGTTAGATGTACTATTTGAATTGCTTCTTTACCTCCAATCCTGACAAAATACATGTATTAAATTTGTTAATTACTTTTTCAGTGTGTGCCTTGCAGGGAGGGGGTTGTTGCATAGGTTGAGATGGGGTCATCTTCCGCCTGAACTCCATCGTTTCTGATTGTTCAATGTGTGTGGTTTTTTTTTACATCCAATGAATGTGTAAAGAATGCATTCTTTTTATAAAACCTTTACACTTTTTACACAATAAAACTACATTTTTGTATATTGTGTTGCATAGATGACCACCGAACCTTGGATGTACCATGTATGTATCAATTGCTTTTTAATGCATATATACTTTCTGTTGATATATACACTACATGTAATTAAATATCATTTCAGGGGTGCTAAAGGTGAATCCTGCACTTGACGGGGAAGAGACTGGTGTGAGACTAGTAATGAGAGGGACAGTCATTCCTGAATGTCTTCCAGTGGGGTTAGAGGCTAAAGGATTGTCACCAAGTTGGCAACATATGCCTGCTACCTCTACAAAAATACTTGCAAGTACCTTCCCTGCCTACTTCTAGATGTAATTTATCTCATACTGGTGATCTATCCAAACAAAGAAATGATGACATACTGTGTTTGAAATCTACTTCTTAGGTTAATAGTGCATTTCAGTGACTATTCTATTCAGTCCTTTTGTACTGGCCTAAGGACTGTCTTTCTGTGACTGTACAAGTTTTATAGTTTTTTTTATCATGTCAAAGTGTTTACTGGATGTAGAGTGTGAGGCTAAAATGTGTAGTGTTAGGCGATGAGTATTAAAATTTTGTCTTTGGCTAATGAAATGATGGGAAATGAACAAAACATATTTTTTTATTTATTATCTACAAAAAATAAGAAAAATAGTATTAATAATAGGAATAACTTATTCTGTGCCTGAACAAAACTGCCTTTTTTTTCTTTCTGAAATTGATGTTTACAATTTTTTGAGAAAAACAATCACTAAATTGAAACGGCAAGATTTTGAAGTTTTTTCATAAATGAAAATGGTACTGCTGGAACAAATAACCTCATCGACCTTAAATATTTACATGGGAAAAGTTTGAGGCTAAGCATACCACCATTTCCAACTGAAATAGAATAGTCAAAGACTTATACACAGGTAATTTGTGTACTGTATTGGGTGGTCGGGTGATGAAGTGGATAGCGCACTTGCCTTTCACCAAGGCAGAAGGGGTTCGATTCCCCAATCGGACATGAAAAGGTTGGGGTCACCTGTCCGACCGCATGGGTTTTCTCTGGGTACTCGGTTTCCAGTCACAGTAAGGCGCCCTACTCACTAATATCCAGGCCAACAAATGTGATTAATATAAGCTGAAATAACATGTTTCATAATTATTGTAAAATAAATAAAGGTTATATATAATTCCTGTACGAGTTTTTATCCAAAGTGTCGCAAGAATATACGCTTAAGAGAAATAAAAATTGGGGATTAATTCAAACAGCCAGGACCTTTTGATTTTCTAGATTTTTTCCCCCCGATTACACCGAAACGGGGGATATTAATTTGGGTGTGTCCGTCTGTCTGTCTGTCACGCTTCGTTTCCGTGCAGTAACTACAGCAAATATTAACCAATTTTCTTCAAACTTGGTCACTGGGTTAAATGCCATAAGGGCTCGGCCAAGTTCGATGACCACTTTCAGCGACTTTATTTGGCGGAGTTATGGCCCCTTGAATAGCCAAAAACGTCATTACCTGCTGTTTCTGCTCATTAACTCTTGCAAATATTATCCGATTGTCTTCAAACTTAGTAACAGGGTTCATCGCTTTGAGGGCTCGGCCAAGTTTGACAACCACTTTAATCAGACTCCATTTCGCAGAGACATCATCTGCAGTTCTGCTTAATAACTCTAGCAAATATTAGATAAGGCTTTTTTTCTTCAAGTTTCAAGCTATACATTATGTCTCAACAGCACGATACTCACATGTTTAAACCTAAGCTCAGTAATGTTTACCTACAATATGTCCTGAAAGCGGGGGATATAAATTCCACGAATTTGCTTGTTTTCTTTGTTGCATTCTTAGAAATAATCTCTTCAGTACATTGAAAACTCTTTGAACTGGGCATGACTGACATTCAAAGTGGCAACGTAATTTTAATAAGACAGTGACCATGCTTGCAACGTCAAAACTCGCGAAACTTAGTTTCATATACGGCTATTCTAAAACTAGCACCACTTAATTTCATGCACTGTCATTCTAAACTCGCACAACTTAA